CGGTTATGGCTTAAAGCTTAAAATATTATCAAAGGTGCTCTAACCCTCTTGCGAGGCTCGAGCACTTGATATTCAGGAGCCTTTTGGGAAAGGGCAGTGCGTTGCGAGAGCGGCTGGGAATGGGGATGGGGATGGAGATGATGCTTGGCCACCGCTGCAGGAGCGGGACGTCAGCTTGGGGCTGACCCCCTCCTTGGGGACAGGAGGGCTCTGGTGCAGGTCCCAGCTCTACAGTGGATTAAAAAGCTTCAAGTCGAGGTTTCCCCCTCAACAGGGGGGACAAAACTAACTAGAAGGTTTTCAAGAAGAGGGATTCCGCTCCGTGCATGTTTTACAGCTGGGTTATAGCAAATGCTCGTGGGCAGGCATTACAAAGGGATCCCAAATCGCTCCCACGTCCATCCCAGTCCCTCTCAGCTAGACCAGGGGTCAACCCTTATAAATTGCAATGAATCCCTTGGTTTTGTCGCCTCCAAGCTCAGGCTCAATCGATTGCCTCCTTCATCCTCCCTGCAGCGGCCAGCTGGGTGCACGCACAGCGGGTGAAAAGAGCCAAGACCGAGCACCGCTAGGCACCAAAAATTGACCAGAGCCACCACGCCTGAGCTTCCTTCCTCAGCTTTTGAAGCAATTGGCAGAGTTTTGCGCTAAATGCATGCATTGCCCCAAGCACAGCCTTTTAGCGGGGGCCCGCCGGGCGTTATTGCAGGGTAACACATGCAGCAAGAGCAGTAGCATCACCGGTGGCATCGGGGACAGGGCGGTAGCAGGAATCGACCGAAACGTTTTGGTTTTGCAGAGCGCCGTTAATCGCCTTCAACGCGCAAGGACACAAGTGAAAGGATCACCAGAGTTTGATTATGAGTGCAAATAATATTCATATATATGTGCTAAACACAGTCACTATATTGCAGTTTTCCACTATGTCACAGCATACAGAATCAAAGGTTTGCATTTTTATGGAATGTATCCAAGGTAACAGCACCACAGTAATACAGTTTGTAATCACACACCCTGATTTTTTTCTCTTTTTTTTTTCGACAAGATAAGCATTACCCCCCACATCCCATGTTTAATTTTTTTTTTTAAAGTACCGACGCATGCAAAGCATTCCATTCCCAGAAACAATGCAAAAATGAGGTAATAGGAGTAATAAAAAAAATTAGTATTAATTTCTAAATAAATAAATTATAATTAAAAATGCAAAAAACAACTATAAAAATAATTAAATAAGAACCCACAATATCTACAAGTTAGTCATAAATTATGATTGTTAAATATAAGGCATTTAAACTCACAAAACCCTGTAAACTATCAATGTTTTGTTCCTAGAGATTTTTTGTTGTTTGTTTCGTTTTGTTTTTAGACTCACCCTATTATCGCAACCTACTCGTACAAATTATTTAAACGCAAAGGAACCTGACACACCGATGCAACTCCAGACGCTGTAAATTCGCACGCACCTCGGGATCAGTCACTCACACGAAACCACGGGAGTTTGGTGCTTTTCTTCACCAAGGTTTTTTTTGTTTTGTTTTTGTTTTTTTAAAAAACTGTGCTTGTTCATTAGGCAAATAGTAATACTTTCGCATAGGCTTTAAGAAAACGCGCGGTTCGGAAGCGCTCCTCCTTCCCTTCCCGCCCAGCCAGGGTCCCAATCGCCCCGTTCCTCTCCCTGCTTCGCCCCCAGCTCACGCCTGGACAGACCAGCCCGCCTTACAGTGTATTTTACCAGCAAAGCCTTGCTTTGCTTGTCCATATAATTAGTAATATTAGTATTATTTTTAATGCTGCTTCAATCTGCTGCTGCTGGAGCAAGCCCCATAGCTATTGATGGACCCCTACTTGACCCACGGAGTCCTCAGCCCTCCGGTCGGGGCTGGGACCGCTACATCCCTTAAGAAGCCATCGCTTGTGCTGGGTGGCAAATATATCATAGAATCATGGAATAGTTTGGGTTGGAAGGGACCTTTAAAGGCCATCTAGTCCAACTCCCCTGCCATGGGCAGGGTCATCTTCAACTAGACCAGGTTGCTCAGAGCCCCGTCCAACCTGACCTGGAGTGCTGCCAGGGATGGGGCATCTACCACCTCTCTGGGCAACCTGTGCCAGTGTCTCACCACCCTCATCACAAAAAATTTCTTCCTTCTATCTTCCTTATATGCCACCATGTGTCCCCCTCCACTCCCTCCTACCTGCATGGGCACAGCAGGAGAGGGGCTCCTGCATC